TCCTCCTCCTCCTCCTCCTCCTCCTCCTCCTCCTCCTCCTCCTCCATCTGCAGAGCCAGAGAGCACGAAGCACGGAGAATGCTCCGACCCCCGCGACTGCAATTTTGTCTCGGGCACGCTTGTGTGTCTTCGCTTGCGTAGAGGGGGCCCTGACCGTCTTCCGCACCGACCTTCCGCCCGCTTTTCCCCCCTCTAGGCAGAGGGATGTCGTCACGTGATGCGAAGTCCCCCCCTCCTCACCGAATTCCCCTTCTCGTCCTCCTCTTTGTATCCTCCTTCTCATCCTACTCCTCCTCCGATTCGCATCACGTGAAGGATCCAAGTCGCCGACACTCGGAGCCGCTCTCGTTTTTTGCTTCCGCCGGCCTTCCGCCGCCTTCCCCCGAGGAAGAGGTGCCAGCTGCTGCGAGCCCTCGGAGGCGAGGCCCTATCCCCCACCGCGCCCGCAGCGAAGCGCGGCGCGGGATGATCGTCACTCCCTCGCGCAGCCCACTCAGAGAAGGACAACCGCTCTGGCCCAGACCGCGACGTGTGAAGGGCGATTATCTTCGCTCCCCCGCGGATGACCTGCTCTCTGGGGCACCCGATGTGGGAGCGAACGCGCTGATAGGCTCGTCCTCTAGAGCGGGGTCCTGACCCGCTCAGATTCCATGACACATCCGGGCCCCCATCCCAAATGCATGCGTTCTTGCAACTGCGCTGAACCGCAAATCGAGCGGAGCACCCACGATGCCGGACACACCGACTGCCAACGCAGCCCATAAGCTTTGAAGGCGCTAGCAGCAAGGTCCCCCCGCCATCGCGGTCCCCAACATGACGGAGCAGGGGGAGGAGGAAGAGCTGTGGGAGGAGGTGGACAAGGGCCTGGAGGTGCAGCCAGATGAAGAGGTGGTGGAAGAGAAGGGACAGGAGGAGCAGGAGACGAATGAAGGAATAGAAGGAAAAGGATGTGGAGAAGGAGAAGGAACAGCAGCAAGACTGACAGCAAGGCCACGGGCCCCACCAACACGGTCCCCGACTTGAACAGCGTTGGGGCGAAGAGTGCCGCCCGACGTCTGCAAGTCAGATATGTCTTCTGGCGCCAAGGGCTTCCCGTCCGGCACGTAGATGGCAACGGGCGCGTAATAAGTTTCCAGTGACCTTCCCCCGCGGGAAGGAAAAGAGGGAGAACAAGCCGTGGAGGACGAGAAGTGGGAAGAAACGGAGATGGAGAGAAGATGGGGTGGAAGAGAACAATGAGGAGGATGATAAGGAGGACGACGACGGCGACAATGAAGAGGACAAGAAAGCATGACACTCCTGCTTACGCGCGTGCGCGGCGAGCAGGCGAATCGCGACGCCGAAGCAAAGCGCAGACAGACGCGGCGGCCGCCAAAAATACGCCACGTCAGACACGATGCGCCCATCGAGGGCTAGCCTCGCCTCCAGATTCTCACATCGAGCCAGGCTGCCCCTGAAGGTTTCTGTACCGATGTCCTGACCTGCCCCCGCAGGAGAGGAATCGGAAAGAGGGAGAGACAGCCGTGGAGGGCGAGGATTGGGAAGAAACGGAGATGGAGAGAAGATGGGGTGGAAGAGAACGATGAGGAGGATGAGGAGGAGGAGGAGGGCGACGACGACGACGACAATGAAGATAAAAATCAATCGTGATTTCTGCACGTGTAACTGTTAGCCCCGAGCAAACACTATAATGTCCCTTGCAGTTGATCTCAGGACTCAGTGTACCAGGTTGCCTTAGCACGTCAAGCTTGCCCTACTGCGGCGTCAACGCTGGACGTCGTCCGTTCTCTCTGTGTCTGCGCGCGCCAGCTGTAACCGTCATGGGTTGATCATGTTGCCCCTACCACCATCGCGCCAGCTTCTCAACCGCACGATCCAGATTGCGAAGATGAGAGCGGCGGCAACAGAGGCAAGCTTTCGGGAGCATACGAAGGGCCTCCCTGCTCTCGTCCCAATGCCACCACGCTCGTGCGCGGCGAACGCGCGAATCGCGATGCTAAAGCAAAGCGCAGGCAGTCGCGGCGGCCGCCAAGATACGCAACGGTAGGCACGATGCGCTGATTGAGGGCTCGCCTCGCCTTCATATTGCCAAATCGAGCCAGACTACCCATGGAGGCTCATCTGACGGTGTCCTGACCGACGCCAGAAAACCACGCAAGATCTGCGCTCTGTAAAATCCCAGGCCCTGGTTTCGGCAGGGGGAAACAGTTAGTGGAGACTCCCCCAGACTCAAGGTTGCGCGGGGGAGACTGCGGTCGAAGTGGAACTCACCAGGCGCACCGCAAACTCTGGACACCGAGGGGGAGGGGGGAGGCTTTGACCGATGAGTAAATGTGGCATGCGTGCTCGCTAGTTCTGCTCCGAGGCCTGGCCTCGCCGTCGTCGCCGCCCAGGCATCACGCAAGCGGGCGGACGTGCGCGCAGGAAGAAGAGGCCTTCGGCGCTGGCCGCGCTGGACGGGTTGTGGATGCCACGACAACGGACACCCTAACAGTCCTATCATTGAATGTTACATGTGTTTGACATGTAGGAAAATGTTCTAAACATGTTTAACACATGTTTAACACATGTTTAAGACACGTTTTACACATCTGGAGATTATTTGGCAACATGCTTCCTCTCCATTGATCGTCCTCCACAATTGACGGGGTGACGAGGCGGTGCTTCCGGTCCTCCGGGGCCCCAGGTCCGGCTGGGGGGCGTCCAAGAGGGGGGGGGGGACTCGGGGGGGGGAGCGGAGCGATATCATGATGCCTCCCCAAATTCCGCGTTCGCTAATTTTTGTCCCGAGGCCTGTGCTTCCCACGTTCCCCCAAGGTGGACCCAATGCACCGTCCTACAGGGCTCGCTCTCCTCGGAACCTGCTGGCCCCTCTGTTGGGGAGGCCCTGGTAGCGCCAGCCCACCCCCAAGACGCCCCAAGGAGCCATCAAGAGGCGTCCCAAGAAGCCTTCCAAAAAGCAAAGACCGTCCCATTTCCGAGGGAAAACGTATATTTGTACCACATTCGCCTCTTGGGCTTACACGAGGCCCACAACGGCCCAAGAAGCCGTCAAGATCGACCCAAGATGGCCCAAGAGGCCCCCAAGAGGGCTCCAAGACGGCCCAAGAGAGCCTCAAAAAGGCCCCAGAAGCCTCCAAAACGGCCCAGGCGGGCCTCAGGACGGCCCCAAGAGGAGGCCCAGAGTGGGAACCCGAATGGACATTTCGAGCATTCGGCCCCGAAAAAACCTGAGGAGGCGCCAAGAGGCCTCCAAGAGGCACCCACGAGGCCCCCGAGAGGCCCAAAAGAGGCCCCTAGAGGCCTCAACACGGCTCCCAAAAAGATTCAAAAGTGCTGCCAGGAGAGCTCAGAGAGGCGCAAGAGCAGAGCCGCGATCCGCCAACCGCCCACTACGAAATCCCAAGAAGCTGAAACCCCAAGATTCCCCAGAAATCGCGCGCGTTCCGCAAACTCCGTTTTTCACTCTTACTGCCGCCCCAAGGGGTCGGCGGTGCGGCGCCAGCCAATGAATGAATAGACACAATCCCACGATTCCCTATATTTGTTCAGATTTTCTGGGTTTTCGTCTTCCCCCTCACTTCCCATATTTTCCCATATTCTCCTGGGAGTCGACGATTAATTGCGTCTGTGTTTTCCCATCCTGATCCTCGCCTTTTCGGTCCGCAGGGCGTCCGTGACGGCCCAAGAGGCCACCGAGAGAGCCCTGAGAGGACAGAGAGGGGGAGCCGAGAGACGGCGGCGAGGGAGGGGGAGAAGTGAGAAGGAGAAGGCCTTCTCAGAAGGCGGCGGGACTTCTCACAGCCCTCGCGCCTTCTGAAAAGTTGTCTGTGTCTTCAGGGAATGCTTGGAAAACTTGTCAGAAGGCTGGGGGACTTCCGAGCCTTCTGAGAAAGCCCGCCCCTTCTCACTTCCCCCCCTCGCTCGCCGCCGACGAGAGGCCACCAAGAGAGCCCCGAGAGGGCCCCCCAAGGGGGCATCGAGAGGCCCCCGAGAGGCCCCAAAGAGGGGCCAGGAGGGGCAGCCTCGAGGGGTCGCGGGCGGGCGTCGCACGCGTTGCAAGCTGTCCTTGGGACGCCGGGCGGGCGTCGCAGGCGTCCCGGGGAGACATCACTCGAAGCAGCCCTGCCCATTGAATGCTAGACTCGAGGCCTGGAGTGGCTGCATCCACGACCCAAACACGGTGGCGGGTTGAGCCAAAGGCCACAGCATACGCCGTCCCATATCGCCTGCAAGAGAGGCTCGTGGCGTGTCGAGTGATAGTCGTTTGAACCATGGCCTCTGGCTCAAAACTCGCCAATGGGCTTTTCTGTCCGAGATGGTCCCAAGATGCCTCCGAGAAGGCCACGGTGCTCCCCATGAGAGGGCCCAAGATGGCCTCTGAAGATGGGTGCAAGATGGCCCAAGACGGACCAAGATTGCTCCAAGACGGTCCAAGATGGCCTCACGGCGGTCCAAGATGCCCACAAGGCCACCTCGGAAAGCTCAAGAGGACTCTCCATATGCTTCGGGGGGAGGCAACTCTGACGGGGCGCCCATACTGGCACGGCTGACGCATGCGATCAGAGATTCCGCAACGGGGAAATCTCGGGGCACATCCACCGTCGAACCTTCGGGGTCCGAGGTGCCCCAGCGCTTCCGTGGACCCCCTGGCGCGATCGGGGGATCGGACATCTCCGCGGTTGTAAAGGGCGCCTCGGCGCCGCAGCCCCCCGGCGGCCGAAAGGGGCGCGATCTCCGAGGCCGCCGGGGCCGGCGACCTCGACGCGGCCGACGAGCGCGCGCGATCGGCCGATCTGGGCGAGAATACTTGGCGGCATCCTTGCAAGAGAGTAGGGGCGGCCGACCTCTTCCTCTGCGCGCCCGTGACACACGCGCCCGGCAGGCCCGGCGGCGGCGCCGCGAGAGCGCGGGCCTGGACCGCCCCCGCCGCGCCGCGCGGCTCGGAGCCACGGCCCGAGCGGCCGGGCGCCAAGAGCACGCCCCCGCCGCGCGTGCCCCCGTCGGCGGCGAGGCAGAGGCGGTCCGCTCCAGCGTGTGGCAGTCCGAATGGCAGCCGAATGGCTATGCAATTGACCGGCGCGCAGGAGAGCGCCCCCCCCGCCACGCAGCAGGCACGCGCGACATCACATCTCTGTGTGCGCCGCCGCGCCGCGCCGCTCGGGGCACGGCCTGGGCGGCCAGGCGCCAGCGCCCCTCGCCCACGGCGGGCACGTGCGGCGAGGTGTGTGCTGCACCCGCCGGTCGGAGGAAGCAAATGGAAGCATCAAGCAGGAAGGCGGAGCAAGCAGATTGGGTTCGGGCCCGCCCGAGGAGCAGCACAAGACGGCAAGCATACGTCGGTTCTTGAGGTAGGTAGGAAGGCGCTCGAAATAGACTGGGACCCGGGTATATGGTAACACCTGCTTTCAACGACTGGCGCGCTGAGCTCGCCGGCCCGTGGGAGGACGCACTCTCGACACCCAGCTCTGCTCGACAACGCCTCGGTGCCTCGCGCCAGAGGCGTGGTTTCGCGGGCAGAAAAACCCGCCCCAAAACGGACTCAGCGCGGAAAAGGAAGAGGAGGAGAAGAACCCGCCCCCAAACGGACTCAGCGCGGAGGAGGAGCGAGCGTCCCTGGCGCTGGTCTGTCCACGCCTGAGGACGCTGCGGGCGCGCCTGCGCTGAGCCCGTCAGGCTCATGTTGAAGAAGTCCACGGGGCCGCTGGCGTCGGCGGGGAGGTCGACCAGGATGTCGGCATCGCTGTCGAGCAGGTCGGGGGTAGCTCAGGTGGAGTTCGGGAAAAAAACATCTCCAACGGACACGTGATCCGAGGCGGCGACATCGTCACGGCGCATCAAGCCCCCAACACCTCCGACATCGTTGACATCAGGGTCGAAATCGGGGAGGGCCGCAGGAGGAGAAGCAACGTCGACCACGCCCGCTGCATCCGGCACAGCGGGGTCAACGGGCGTGTAGTCTGGGAAGGCGCCATCGCCCATAGCCGAGGTACCAGCAAGGCCTTCAGCAGGAGGAAGTGGAGCACCCGACTGAGTCGATGCGTCACCATGCGCTTGGTAGACGGGTGTAGGGTCGTTCTCATCCTCAGGGCTGAGCAGCATCTTGTCATCGTCCTCGCCGAGCACGAGGGAGGCAGTGA